TATTGTTCAGTTGTGATTGCACTAACATTTACTTGGACATTAATTCTGTTCCCCAAAACCTCAGATTTTCTCTGTGTTCAGAGACAAGCTAATGTTGTTAATCTTATCACAGTGTCTAGGCACTGTGACAGAGACCCACACCCTTCTGTGCTATTGTTGAATTAGCAGTTTCCTCAAGTCTGGAAATTGCAAGATTCCTATATTGTTCAGTTGTGATTGCACTAACATTTACTTGGACATTAATTCTGTTCCCCAAAACCTCAGATTTTCTCTGTGTTCAGAGACAATTTGGAAGGCAGTACTACTCACCTGAACAACAGGATCACAGAATCCTTGAGGTTGGAAAGGGCCATCTAGTTCATCAAGATTAAAATCACTTAGTCCACTTTCCAACTCAAAGCAGTTGTCCAGGACCATGTCCAGTTGAGTTTTGATTATCTCCAAGGGCCAAGACTCCACAACCTCTCTGGGCAAACTGTTCAAGTGACTGACCACTCACACAGTGAAAAAACCCCAGCAAACACCACCAAAATTTTATTTAGTGTTTAGATGGAATTTCATGTGTTTCAGTTTGTGCCCATTGCCTCCTGTTCTGTCACTGAGCACAACTGATAAGAGCCTAGGTCCATTCTCTTCTTTCTTTCCCATCAAGTATTTATAGAAATCAGTAAGATCCCTAGTGAGCTTTCTCTTCTACAGACTAAACACTCCCAACTCTCTCAGTCTCTCATCAAATGACAAATGACTTTTTGCCAGAGGTAGCCCAGTATGTCCATGTCTCCTTTGTACTGAAGATCTCAGACCTGGATCCAGCACTCCAGATGTGCCTTACTCTACCAGTGCTGAGCAGAGTGGAAGGATCACCTTCCTCCACCTGCTGGTTATGCTTTTTCTGATGCAGCCCAGGATGCCATTGGCTGTCTTTGCTGTGCAGGTGAGTTGCAGGTGAATTGTCAACTTCTTGTCCAGCATGTAACCCACCCAGGTCCTCTGTGGAACTATTTTCCAGCTCACTGGCTCCAGCATGTGTTGGTGCCTGGTTTTGTTCCTTCTTAAGGGCAGAACTTCAAATTTCCCTTCGTTGAATTTTATGAAGTTCCGGTCAGTCCATTTCTCCAGCCTATCCAGGTCCCTTTAAACGACACCACATCCTCATGGAATGTCAGCTGCTCCTTCCACTATTGTATCATCTGCAAAACTGCTGAAGATGTACTCTGTCCTGTCATCCAGATGATGCTGGTGTTGGCTCCCATATTGACCTCTGAGGCACACTGCTGGTGACTGTCCACCAGATGGACTTTGTGGCAGTGATCAAACCCCACGGGCCCAGCTGTTCAGTGGCTTTTTGATCCACCTCATTGCCTGCTTATCTAAATTGTATTTTGTCAGTCCTCGAAGTTGTTTTGAGAGATAGCATCAAAAGCCTTACTAAAGGTGAGGCAAACAAGATCCACTGCTCTCCCCTCATCTAACAAGCCAGTCATCTCATTGTAGAAGGTTATCAGGTTGGCCAAGCATCATTTGCCCTTCGTAAATCCATGCTGACTAATCACAATCACCTTCTTGTCCTTCATGGCTTTGGCAAGAGTTTCCAGGATCGGTTAATTCATTACCTCCCCAGGAACTAAGGTGAGGTTAACCAGCCTGTAAGTTCCTAGATCCTCCTTCTTCTCTTAAAGACAGAGTGATATTTGCTCTCTTAGAGTCCTCAGGGACCTCTCTCAGTCACCACATTGTTTCAAAGAACAGAGGTTTGCCTTGTAATGGCATGACCCATCCTCTTCAGCTCTATGCATGCATCCAAGTCACTCCATGGACTTGTGTGTGTCCAGTTTTTTCAAGTGCTCCCTAACCTGATCTTGCTCCACCCAGGCTAATTCTTCCTTGATCCAGCCTTTTTCTCTAGTCTTGTGAGCCTATGATTCCCCAAGGCTGGTTTTATCAGTAAAGATAGACGCAAATAAAGCATTGAGCACCTTGTCCTTTTCTGTGTCCTCTTTCAACTCGTACCTGTACAAAACTTCCCATTACTCTTCACATTCATCACCTCATTCAACTCCAGGTGGGCTTGGGCTTTCCTATTCTCATTCCTGCATGATTGGACAGTGTATCTGTACTCCTCCTGGTTCAGCTGTCCCTGCTTCCACTTAACATATATTTCCTGCTCATATCTGAGTTTAGTTGGCAGCTGCCTGGCCATCCATGCAGGCCTCATGCTGCCTTTGTTTTCTGCATGTCAGGATGAACCATTCCTGAGCTTGAAAAAGGTGTTTCTTGAATATCAGACAGCTGTCCTGGACTTGTCTCCAGGTCCATAACCCATGAAACTCTTCCAAGCAGATGTCTGCAGAAGTTCAAGTTTGCTCTGCAAACTTTAGTCCCAATTTTTTCCCTTCTACCTCCTATCAAAATCCTGAATCCACCATCTCATGTTTACTGCAGCAAAACCCTTCAAATGTCCATCTATTTCTTCTGGTATTGTGAGTATCAGGACAGACAAGCACCTCCTTATTGACTCTTCAGTCACTAGTCAGGAAGTTGTCAACACACTGAAAGAATCTGTTCTGTTCTGAAGCCTTAGTTTGACCAGTTCATATCCTTCAGCCCAAAGAAAATTCCTTTTAACCTGAAACTTCCAGCTGCTATTCTTGGCAATGATGACTTTGTGCTATCACAAAGCAAACTCTTTAAAAACTTGTGCTGCTTTAAGATTGTTGGCATTTTTAAGCTTGTTGCCCATGCCATTTTCCTCTAAGCTCATAATCAACTAGTTCATTAGCTGAAAAACAGATTGTATCAAAATATTAGGTATTAACAGTAATGTTCTCCTAATCTCAGTAACCTTCCTCTTTCAAATACTTTATTGCATACTGCAGGTTGAAGATGCAGTTATCTTCTGTTCCACATTTCTGGATCCATTGAGACCTTACAACATCTGCAGAGGGCTGGAGCTGTAAGGGGCACTGCAGAACTGTTCTGGAATTGGAATAAAGGAAGAGAAGTTTAGCTCTTCCTGATTGTCCATAAATTACATGGAAAGCATCTGTTCCTACAGCAAAACATCAAAGAGCAAACTTCAGCAGTATTCCAGAAGTACTTGCTTTCAGTATGACTCAGAACTGTAGTCTCAGCCATTTCTCACTCATTTGGACTTACTTTAATAGTTGCCTGGTAGAAAAGATTGATTTTCACAGGGAAAAATGTAATAATTTGAATTTGTACAGGACAGGCATTTTGCTATGGGCTATCTCCAGGTTAATCAAGCTCACGTGCTGCAGTTGATCCTTGCACCAATACTTTTGCAGTGCCCACTGCCTTCAGGATCTGGGACTCTGGAGTAAAGAAGCAAGACATCTAGAGGGAGGGGTATGGTAGTGCTAGGAGGTAAGACTGTGACAAGGTCACTTGGCAAAGTAGGTTCTCAGTTCAACTGTTTTGTAAATATTGTGTTGTGTCCCTCTGACTTTTATTCTCTGTGTTGTGCTGCTTCTCAGTTACTCTGAAAAATCTTTATGTGATGAGAGCATCTTCTATCAGCTTCTGTCTTTTTTCAGGGACACTTTTTTAGACTCTGGGCATTTGAATACATTTCTTGTTCTCAACTTGTCTCCAACTGATTTTTCTTCCTCTGTAGTTTGTCCACCCCATTTTATCCTGCTTTCCTTTCTCCTTACAGCAGTTGAAGGTTAGTATGTTCTTCCCAAACAGGATGAAATTCTTCGAAAGACTAAACCAATCTAATTGTCAGTTGCCTGGCCTTAGCCATTGTTATCACCATGACATGCATTTCTAATGCATGTACAGCCATAATGCTTAACCCTATGTGATAATTTTTCCATGCCTGGAAAAATTTGAGGTCAAGATGGACGGGGCTCTGAACAACCTGATCTAGTTGAAGATGTCCCTTCTTATTGCAGGGGGTTGGGCTAGATGACCTCTAAATGTCCCCTCCAACCCAAACCATTCTATGATTCTATGAAAAAGCAAATCTCCGTCTACAGGCAATGTCACACGTGCAAATCTGAGTGAACCTTCATGGCTGTGGCTGGAACACAAATTTGCTCAGTGATTTTGTGGGAGAAAACCTATATGTAACAGTGGAAGGAAAGGTCCAAGCCTGTCTTTTTTTCTGGCACTTTTTGCATAATTACTAGGCCATTTGTGTCAGAAATGGGATACAGGGTCCATTTTTTTAATTCCCACAGTCTTAAGCTGCAGTAGAAGCAATTGCTTTTAGAGATAGTTCAGAGGAGCCAGAGAAGATTTTCCTCCTGCAATTGCTAGATCCCTCTGAGGAACTGTGAGCATAACTAAGCTTCTCTGTTCAGCAGCCAGGATGAAGCCAGGCTGGATGAAGCCTTAAGCAACCTGATCTAGTGAGGAGGTGACCCTGCCCATGGCAGGTGGGGTTGGTACTAGATTATATGTCAAGTCCTTTCCAAGCCCTAAATTCTATGAATCTATGAAGTGTGTTAAGTGTATTATATTGTGGTCTTATCCTGAATAGTATGCACATTGTGTCATATAAGCAAATACAAGGCATTTGTTTTAAATACAAAATTTATTCATGAATTCAATAGTGAAATAGCAGCAGTTTTTACCTCAAAATAAAACAAGTAACTCAAAAGGCATGCAATACAAAAATAATCAGTTTCAACAAATAATCTATGAATTCCAAACAAAAGCTGGGTTAGTGGGTTTCCCAAGTCAGCTAATGTTTCAAAACCAGAAATGAAGGCTTTCATTCAAAACTTATGAGGCACAGGGCATTTAATATTGGTAACAGCATGATGCTTCATTTATCTTGTGGCGTAAGAAACTCCTACTGCCCGTAATGGTGAGTTTTATAAGATACAGCCAGAGCATTTCTGTCTTTATGATGATTTATTCTGATTTAAAATACTCAGCACCTTTATATATCCCCTCCAACGCTGCTCAAACTCGCAAATGCTCAATGCTTTCCATATGAAATTTCAGCCCAAGTAGTGTACTATTAGGGATCACTGACAAAAGTCTTCTTCCATTTGTCCCTGCTTCACAGATGCAGGATTTTGCCAGCTGCCTGTCTCAGGTGTTTTTACAGGTGTTGCTCTTTCTGAGGTCCCCTGGACGTCTGCATCCTGTTGGTAACTGATTTCTTGAGTGGATGTATGAGAATTTGACTCTACTCTGAGGTTTGAGTCTTGTTCAGCTGTTTGCTGCTGCCATAGGTGCCACACAGACAATTCGTATGGTGGTGGCTGCTCCTGCTCATTTGTTTCACTGACAAACTCTGCTCTGCTTTCACTATATGGAGGTGGAGGGATATTGACTTCTTGCTGTTCTAGTATGCAGGCAACTGACAGTGGAGAGATCTCTTTTTCAGGATCTGTTCTGCCTTCATAGGAGGGAGGATGGAAGTCAGGCCTAGAATAGGCAAGCCAAAAAGGAATACATCATGGTGAAATGCAATTTATCTCACAGAGCTTGGTTAGATACTTTGTCTGTTACGTTTTCTAAGTTTATATGAGGTTTAAACTGTAAATGGAAACCTAAGTAGGTTTAGAGCAATAGAATATATTAACATAAAAGAGTAGGCATAGCTGGGATCACCTCTTGTGTCTTTGTACAAAACGTTTTATTAAAACACAACATTCTAAAAAGACAAGCCAACCCCGTGAGAATTCCCACTTATGGCATGCAAACACTTGAGCTTGTGAGTATTTCAACAAGTGTCCAAGAAAAGTTTTATTTGGAAGAAGAACATGATCACTGTTCAGAGTTATTTATTATTACAATAACCATTGTTTTCCACAGTTTTAAAATACATGTTGTATGTCTCTGCTTATCTATCCAAAATATGCTGAATGCTGGTTTAATAGTACCTTCAGAGCACCCATGGTCAGTGTTTCTGGTGTGGTTTCTACAACAGTGCGGGAAAAGTAATTTGTATCCACTGACCCTGTTAAAGTCTTCTGTCAGGCCTAGTGCCAATCATTTTAATAAACTCTCTCTCAGGAAGCCTCAGACTTTGTTAAGAAATAAAATCATATGATCATAAAATGGTTTGGATTGAGAGGGAACTTAAAGATCATCTAGTTCCAACTCGCCTGCCATGGGCAGGGACACCTTCCACTAGACCACATTGCTCAGAGCTCCATCCAGCCCCACCTTCCAGGGATGGGATATCTACAACTCTGGGCAACCTATTTCAGTGCCTCACCACCCTCACTCACAGTAAAGCATTTTTTTCCTAGTATCTAATATAAACCTAACCTTTCTCAATCTGAAACCATTCCCCCTTGTCCTGTCACTACATCTCCTTGCAAAAAGTCCCTGTCCAGATTTCTTGTAGCCCCTTTAGATACTGGAAGGTGCTATAAAGTCTCCCTGGAGCCTTCTCTTCTCCGGACTGAAGCACCCCAGCTCTCTCAGCCTGTCTTCATAGGAAACACAGAATCTATTGGGTTGGAAAAGACCTGTTACATCACCAAGTCCAACCTTTGGGACAGGTGCTCCAGTCCCCTGATCCTGTTTGTGGCTCACCTCTAGACCTGATTTAGCAGGTCCATGTCATTCCTGTGCCAAGGACCCCACCATGGATGCAGTGCTCCATGTGGGCACTCACAAGACAGAATACAGGGGCAGAATTGCCTCCCTTGACCGGCTGACCATGCTTCTTGTGATGCAGCCCAAGATATGGTTAGCTTTCTGGGCTATGAGCACACACTGCTGAGTCATGCTGATTTTCTTGTCAACCAACACCCCCAAGTCCTTCTCCCCAGGGCCGTTTGCAATCCATTCTCTGTCCAGCTCATATTTGTGCTTGAGGTTTACCCAGCCTAGGTGCACCACCTTGCACTTGGCCTTATTAAACTTAATGAGGTTTGCAAATAGTGGGGACAATTAGACAAAAAACTTTAGCAGGAGCCATATAGTGAGCTGAAGATCCATGCATAACAATATTGATAAGCTATATGAGCACCTGACCCACATCAGCACATCAGGAATTGCCTGTTGAGATGGAACTCAGGACTCTCCTGCAGTAACCTCATGAAATTGGCATAGCTGCACTTGTTGCCTCCATGCAAGGCTTTGGAAACCGTGAAACTTTCTGTGGTTTGTGTAGCATACCTTACCTTATGTATTGTTTGCATGACTTGCTGTTTGCACATCACTGCTTGCTCTAGTAAATAAAATTTCAGACTTCTGTTCTCTTCATAGAAATATAATAAAATGGCTACATATATTTTAGTTTCTAAAAACCTTGTATTGCTTCTTTATTCTCATAGTATGCTTAAAAAGTAGCATCCCTCCCTCCCTCCCAATTCATCAAAACACTCATACAGCAATCTGTAACACATACCTGTCTATGGTGCAGACACGGAGCTCTCTGCAGCTGGGATTTCGAATTAAGATGTCAAGGGCCCTGTATTTCAGGACTTTATGGAAAGTGCTCCAGAAAATGCCAGTAACAAGGAGACAGAGCCCCAAAGCTAACAGGCAATAATACACCAGCTCATTATTTTGACATCTGCACGTAGATGAATTCGTGGAAACGCAAAGGACTCCCAGACAAATAGTGAAGAAACTAAGTAAGAGCACAAAAAGACGAATGAAGGTAAAACCACCTTTTGGCATCTTTCACAGCAGACACAGCCCTTTGCTCCTGTCTGCTGTTTGTTTGCTGGCCCTCTTGGCTGTACTTCTCATCTTCCTGCATGGATACTTTATGTACTTCAGGATCAACTGAAGCAGGCAGTTTTAAGATACTCATTAACTCTTTGAGGGACTTATAAACTCTTTTGAGATTAATTTGTAGTCTTCTATCTACTTTCAGGAAGGAAACAGAAACTTCCTGAACCATTCCTTTGCCACTGCAATCTTCAAAGTGCACACTGGATTGCTGCATTTATTGCATGTTACAATTTGCAATGGTTTATACACAGCTAGTTTATGAATGAGACCTGTATTTGTTAAATTTGAGTTTGACTTAAAAACAACAAACAACCTACAAAAATGCTGCTTATAAATCCCTTTTGATAGTTTGAAGGGAAACTGTGCTTCTTTCTTAGTCATTCGTTTTCATCATCCATCAGATTTTGGTCTCCTGTTTGTAACACATTATTCAACAGCCTTGATATTTTTAATAGTCTTTTGAAAAATAACAGATTTCTAGCTTGCAATGTATTATAATAACGGACTTTAGTGACATGAAATAAATCAAGATTACATAATGTCAAAAGAAGAACACAGGCGTGCAAGAAATCTTCTTTCTCTGGAGGTTCAGTAGTTGCAGGCTCATTCCAGGCTGGGATTAGGTATGCTTAGCATGTTCCTGGGCTACCACCATTTTTGCCTAGGAAAGGGCAAATTGATTTTCATCTGCCTTACTGTGAAACAGTGCACAGAATGTCCCAGACACTGCAGCACTGACAACTGGGTGCTTCCCCGGCAACCAAAGTGCTGCAGGTGAGCCTGGACAGGCTGCGGGGTGTTGTTTCTTGATGTGACCACTTTTACTGCACAGTCAGAGAGGGAACTGAGGGGGGCAAGCCAGTGAAACATTGCGTGGAGTTAATGCTGCAGGTAAGACTGCTGCATTATTCAGCATTTTAGCGGAGTGCAGATACATGGAGGAGCTGAACATGTTTATTTGTATAAGAAGTTCAGCATTTGTACTAGTGTGGTCTGTGGTCTTTCTTATGGAATAGCGATAAGCAACAGTTACCTTGAAATCTGAACTAAGAATGCCCTTTGTTACTGAATGCAAGTTAATTTTCTGGCCCTTACGATAAGAACAAATTTTTCCAGGAGTTCCTCTGCATCTTGCCCATGCATATTTGGTAATGAATTATACAATTTTTATCTTTGTGGTGTAGAATTTTACAGTCAATCTTGTTCACAGTGAGCTCTCCTGTACTGTGTTTCCTTCTTAGAAAATGGGAGTCCATGTTGTGCATTGGTACTTTTAATACTCTTTTTATTTCTTTGGTGATGAAGGCTCCCTACAGAGAAGATGAATTCTGGTCTTGTCATCCTGTGGCAAAGACACAACTGCACATGATGAGTATAGTGCTAGGAAACTGGCTGTAAGTGTTACAAGTCCATTTTCCATGCGCTCTGAGTTCATGTGCCTGCACTGCAGGGAGGCTGTGGGCTGCTTTCACAGGGATGCCTTTCAAAAATTAGCTCTCCATGAAGTTAGCTTGCTTATTTTCTGAAAGATTAGTTCCAGCAGACCTTGAGGATGAGCCAGGATACATACAGAGCTATGTAGGATAGAATTGTATCTATACATACACTTATACACAGACATTGACTTGGAAGGGGAATGGGCACAATAATAGTTGTTCTCTGAGAGGGAGTGTCATATCACCTTTTCCCTCTGACTTGTCAAGATAAGGCAGCACTAAAGAATATTGGTGTCTGACAGGTATCATCTAGATTCAACAAAGGATTTATTTCTCTAAGCACTAGCTGTCACCATCTAATACCCTAGGCTAGAGAGCCTAGGAAGCTGACACGAAGCACTTGCATGCCTCATGCAGTCTATAAAAGAGTCCAACACTTCAGACTGGAATGTAGGGCAGCCCTGAGGAGTGTCTGTGAGCTCCCAGAAGAGGCAGTAGGAGGCAATACATCTCTTAGTGACCAGGTTTCCTAGAGGTAAAGCTACCCCAGATCTATACTGGACTCTGAACACCACTCACAGGTTTCTCCTCAGCTGCTTAACCTGGGGCTGATGGGTATTATAACAGGCAGTTCACACCTCCCTGTACTGCTCAGTAAGGTGCAAGCTGCAAAAACAGCAAAATAAAAAAAAAAATCAACTGCAAAAGCAGCTGGTGAGCACAACAAACAGATCCCTCCCTTTAAGAGATCTACTCCATTGGAGAAGACATAAAGTGGGGCAGATTCCCACTACTGTAAGCTGCCACTTTGCATGTGTGTAGGTGCGTGCTTCTCAGGGACTGGGTGATCATGGAAAACTGTTTTTTCAGCCACTGGTTTCACAGAATTCAGGTCTTTGAGAGAGGTGGCCCACTCATGACAGAAGAAATGCCCCTCGTGATTACCCCTCAGAAACCACAAGGGGTAAAACCATGTGTTGGAGCTAGGAGTTTGTGAGGGAAGATGCAAGTGGAGACTGGGGACATGAGAGGCAGGTGGGGCACAGCAAAACCCCTCAGAACCACAGTAGCATTAGTGTTGCTGGATGCACACTCAACAGCAGCAACTGCTCTTCCAGAAATGTTGCTACAAATGTGTAAGCATATGACAGAAACACATTAAAATAAACTAGTTAACTAGGAAAACAATTTATATCTGTCTTGCCTAACATGAAGTCCACCAGTTCATCTTCCTGCTGCTGCAGGACTGTCTCTCAGGGCACCTTTGCTTCATGCTCTGTTGTTTCAAATATGCTGTTCCTGCAATTTGTTTTTCCCCATGGGCTAAAAGAACTGCCTACATTTACAATAATATTTCTCCTGTATAATTTCTACTTTCTCCCTATCTGTTAAATGTACTTTACTTCACAAAATATTTTTTCTTACTTTTGGGGTTTTTGATGCTTCAGCTCTTAACCCACATGAACAGAAATACTGAGTTATTCATGACTGCTATCCAAAGTTCAGATAATTAATGTAATTCACATCTTCTGTAGTACTTTTCCTCCTGCTACCACATGGTATTTCTGAAGTAATTATGTTGATAAGAATACTTTTACTTCCTGTTTTCTATGTAGAGCTATACTCATTGATTTGTGTGTTGTAAATTTATGGCTGGAACATGATGGCATCATATCTCTGGGCATAGATGCTAAGTTAATCACTACAGGAAAACCTGGACAGGAAATTATATTCTGCCTATGTGAAAAAAATCTAAGAGTTTAAATACACTCCCTTTCTATACTAGGAAAAGAGATAAAAAGAGATAGCATGGAAAATCTTTAGTGAGGAAATTACAAAGATTAAGTAAATGTTATAACTCTCAGAAGAATCAAAATCCATTGACTAGGCTACACCTCATTTGGGGGGAGGAACAGGTCTGCATGATAAATTTTAGCCAAGGAAAATCAAATTAATTTTCTATCCCAGCCAGTTCCTTGTCAGCTCTTAGAAATTAAGGATATTCAAGTGAGACCTGTCAATGGCAGCCATCCACAGGATGGCAAAGGCAGAACCCATCTCTTGAAAAAAAGGAATGAACACAGACAGCTCAGCATTGCATGGGAGCTGTGAATGGAGGGCTCATATGGAATGAGGGTTAGTCTCTTGTGATGCTGTAGGAGAGGATATATAGGAGGTCCTTATATGGGGAAGATACATATCTGCCTTTTCTTTTTGTATTTGCAGATCTCCCTAGGTTTCACAGGCTGCAGAAATTTGGTGGTTTCTCCAAGAGGTCAGTTAAAACTATGGCAAGAGGCTATGGGTATCTTATTCTTGAAAATAGCATTTGATTCCAACTTACTACATCTCATGCAGTAGGTATACAAAGGAAAAGGGAAAAAATGAGAAGATGAAATAGCTCCATAATGCTGTTTAATTTTCAGGGTTTCATTATTTTTCTTGTTTTCCATAATTTCAGATTTTCTGTAATGTTGTTCTTGGCCTTTTTCAACTCCACTAACATTTTGCAGCTTGATTGTTTTATTGGCAGTGATTGCCTTGGACTGTATCAGGCTTGATGAGCAGATTTCCTATTTCTCTTACAAAACAGGAAGAAAGTTGCTTCTAATGAGGATCAGGTGGGAAAAGGGATTAGCTAATGTGGGGTAAAGGTTGCCTAGTGGAATTGGCTGCAGACCAAGGTCAAAGGTAGCAGTCCAGATGCATGAAAAGCACTTCTTAGGAAGTCTGATTGAAGATGAACTTAGTGGATGTTCCACTGGATGATTTGACAATTGTGATTATTTGGCAATTTACATTTCACTTGGAAAGGTCATTGCTTATCCTGTATCCTGTTGAAACATGCAAATCTTCAACAAACCAGTTTCTAGAACTATGCTGCTCAAAAAGAAATTTGTGATATTATACACATTTTTATGAGAGTTGTGAAACATGAACATATTTTTAAAAGTAGTAGTAAAATGGAAAATTTATAATCAGAGAATTAAAAAAATAGACATTTTAATGCAAGTATTTGGGGTGTATTAGTACCAGCTGCATATCATATGACAATACATGAGACAAGATAATGTCATATTACAGGTCACAGGTGCTACTGCTGCTAAAAAGTTATACTTTACCAGAAATTTCAAGATTTTATGTTTTGCTCTAGTCTGAAATGTATTATTTTTAATGACAATAAAACTCTGAATTTAAACCAGTTTTGGGTTTCTCTTCTCTGACCTTCTAGCACCCTTAGCTGACATGATTTATCAGTAATAAGTGACCCTAAGGATTTTGTATGTTGTTGTCAATAATTCGGTGCAGATTTACCAATGGGTCCCTAGCAATTCCAGTATTCATTAAAAAATTACCCTCAAGGTAATGGGAAATTACTTTAAGCTCTGCAGATATAGTCTCTTCTCCATGCAATACCTAAATTAATTACAATGGTCAAGAGCATAGGAAGGTTTAAGAATAATTGAGAGTAGAAGCAATATGAACAGCAACATCATATTTCACAGA